AAATTGAAGATGATGATGATGATCAAGATTAATGAAAGAAAATTTAGCATCCCCCCTACCATTGCAAAAATAATTTAACATCCCCCTTTGAACACCTGAAAAATTATATGATCCTCCCCCAAATTTCCTCTGCCCCCGTTCCCCCTGCGGTATACATAATGAACGCAGCCTGGTTCTTTTTTTTCTTTCAATTCAGTCAGTGTAATGGACCCTACTTGGAGGGATTTTATTACATGTTTGGAGTTATGTGCACAAGACCAGTATCTGCACGCCATTAGTAGGGTCACACCGTATGGACCCAACAAATCCTTTCTTTCGTACATCCCGTTAAATACACATGTACGACCCCCCTCCCCTCCCCTCCCCTCCAGACCCTGTTAATACCATCTGAAAAGACAATTTATTTGTGAGAGTTTAGCTTTGCCCTTTCGAAGCATTCAAGTTGTAGGCAGGAATCGGTGACACTATGATACTGATAATAGCAAAGATATTCATTCTATAATTTTCAAATCAAAAAATAAAATAAACGAGAAAAACGGGAAAAAAAGCTTGAGTAGGTACAACTTTTAGGTCACCCATCCAAGTGCTAACCCTCCTTAGCCGGGCTTGACTAAGTACATATTGAAAACCCAAKATTTTTTCCCACTGGGCCACGGTTCCATTAAATTTGCACAACAATAGCGGTGACAACAATGCACCAGATAGACTAGACTTTTTAACATTAAATTTTCAACCGATTCCGTGCGTGGCAGAGATGCAAGGGATTAGCCGATATGGTCGGGGGGCCGGCTAGTCTCTCCCCTGATGCTTCGGCTAGAACATTTTCTTGCGTAATTCGTACACCCAAGGGCAGAAGGATTTAATCGCCGTCAGGTCCGAAGTCCATACGACGCCTCAGCTCTGCGGATGTCACGGAGGTATGGCAAAGTAGAATCGATTTTTTGAATTTATTTTGGTGGGTTCGAATCCCAGCGTAAATTACTTTCTTTCTTTCTTTCTTTCTTTCTTTCTTTCTTTCTTTCTTTCTTTCTTTCTTTGTGTACGTACGCACATACGTACATACATAGGTAGGGAGGTAGGGAGGTAGGGAGGTAGGTATTTATTTATTTATTATTTTCTTTAATTTTTTGTTGTTGTTGTGATAGGATAAAATAGGTTATTTAATACCTCTACAAGGACAATTAATTTTTGRGTAAGAGAGAGTAATGTCCTTTCCACCCGTAGGATAATATAGRTTAATACCATCCGCCTTTCGAATTCAAACGGTAGGATAAAATAGGTTTATACCATCTAGAAAGACAATTCATTTGTGAGAGTAACCTTTATCCTTTCGACCAGTACGTTGGATAACACATTTAGGTTAATACAGGGCGTCCGGAAGGGTATTCGCTAGAGGCGGGAAACGGATAAAATATAGCGCAGGATACTGGACCCGGAATTGCCGAATTCTATCTCCGGGATGTGGGATTTCGTTTT